CGTTTTTTTGGTGCAGACTGAATTCTGTCAATCAGGTCTGCAATGTGGCCACCATTCTAGGTAGCTCGCCATCATATAGTGTACACTGATTTGATGATATTAGATGACCGGAGGCAATCGGCAGGAAGTCCTACCTGACTTAGATTTCGTGCTAGTTAGCACTGACTAGTCAGCAAGGCGTATCTACAGCCATTTAACATCATCAAATCAATGTGCACCATGATGTCAAGCTACCCAGAATGGTGGCCACATTGCAAACCTGACTGATAGAATTCAGTCTCCACCAAACCAAGGATTAGCTAGACACATCACACTAGTTACTAGTGTCCAATCAAATATAGAGAATATCCGTAAAATAACGGTTGAAATACTACAATCATTTGGAAAAGACATACCGCACAAACCAACACAATCATTTCATTTAATATTATGCAGATCAAAGTATCCATTCAACAGCAAAAGAAGATTAAATCTTTACCACCTACAAAATAAACTGCATAAACTGTGAATTGAAGAGTATAAATTAGCTGTTAAGATACAACACGATCTGTATTCATTCATGCCAATTATGGACACCAATTCAAGTGAGAACATGTGGAAATTTTAAACACAGAGGAAACACTAAATATGCTACCAAGGGATTTCTAGAAACCTTGGTACTCAGCAGATAGGACAAAGATTATCAGACAGACAGACACTATAAATCAAATTTACCAACTAATAATAAGGAATAAACTGCACATGATAAGAAAATTCAAATTTTTAGTCAATAAATAGTGATCAATAAAGATGTAAATTATTAACCAATCACGATAATGGCTGTCAGAGAATATTAAAGCTTACTCTGAAGATGTTGTCTAATTGGACAATGAAAGCTTCGTGATTAAATCAACCAACTCGTTTCGTTTTTCGAACCAAAGATCCAAGGTCTTCTCTAATCATTATATATAATCCCTCGTATGTTTACTAGGCTTGATTTACGTGGTGTATCAAGCAACATTAAGCACAGTGTTCGTTGTTTAATAATGGCAAATAACTGAATCTTGTACATGTGTATTTCGTCTTGTTTGGGACTCTTCAACTTATGTATGTACCTGTATCTCAGTAAGTAATGTATGATACGCTCATCATGGGTCCCATGTTACCTAACGACTATCAACCAATTAACATTAATTTGCTTTTAATGGACACTATTGACTAGTGTGATGTGTCTAGTTGTTTCTACTGGTGTAAACTGAATTCTATCAGTCAGGTTTGCAATGTGGCCACCATTCTGGGTAGCTCGCTATCATGGTGTACATTAATTTGATGATATTAGATAGTTGGAGGAAATCGGCCAAAGGAAGCCCGACACCCTGACCTAGATTTCGTGCTAGTTGGCACTCATCAGCCAGCGAGACATATCTGCGACCGCCTGGAAGGAACTCATGTCCCTTCTAAGATTTGCACCCGCGTCATCCAATGCTGCCTGCAGTCAATGACGTTACCACTGAGCTAGCTGTTCGGGCTCGCGACTGACCTCCTGTAGTGTCGAATCAAAGCATCTAATACAGTCCTTCAAAGCGGTTGCAGATATGCCGTGCTGATATTGTGAGTGCCAACCAGCACGAAAGCTAGGTCAGGCAAGGCTTCCTTTGGGCTATTACCTCCAACCATCTAATAACATTAAGTTAATTTCAAAGGATCACTGAATCGTCTGTATTTAAAGGGAGATATTTACCAACCAATGACAAAACATTTCAGTGTAGTTAAATAAATAAATGCATGGAGGATTTCATCATGAGCTGACATCAGTTATAGAACCACTGGGAAACCAGGCGGTACTGAACAGCTGTTTCGTTCTAGTTTGGGACACCGCTTCAGAAGTACGCACCCACATCGTGGGTTCGAAGCCAGGACCTTCTGGTTATATAAGGCAAGCCAGCTTGCTCGCAAACTATTAAACCACTTTGCCTCGATCCAGTAGTGCGTGAATTCCAACTTCTGGCAATTCATAATATGGCGCGACTGTCACTAACGAATGTCATCTCCTTCACACTCGACCTGTTGTACTTTTCTCACTGGTCACGACTTTAAACCGATGTCAGCTCATGATAAAATCCTGTAACCAATTAATCAAATTCCTGCAAACCAATACCTGAATAATTTTTAATTGTTTGTTTGAAATACTAATAACACTCAACTTTAACAGTAGTTATCCAATGACTCACAAAGGAAAATATATGCAAAAACTGTTCAGAGTTCAAGCGCATTCTGTAGCACTTCAGTGCTGAAGAGAGCAGGTGAGAAATATCTACTGACTGTCTGTCTTCAAGGAAGAATGAATACCTATACAATTTCATCAAAAAACATTTAAACTCAAATCAAATTACCTTCCTCAAAGAATACAAAAAAACTTATTCTACCACGCATATATATAAGAGAGAGAATATGATAATACTAGATGGTTGGAGGCAATCGGCCAGAGGAAGCCCTAGCTGACCTAGGTTTCATACTAGTTGGCACTCACCAGTCAGCATGGCGTATCTGCAACCGCTTTGAAGGAATTCATGTCCCTTCTGAGTTTTGAACCCACGTCAACCAACGCCGCTTGCAGTCAGTCACAGACGTTTCCAATGAGCTATTCGGAGTCACGATTTATCTCCTGCGGGACTGTAGTGGGTATTTTCATTGGACACTAGTAACTAGTGTGATGTGTCGAGTCGTTTTTTTGGTGCAGACTGAATTCTGTCAATCAGGTCTGCAATGTGGCCACCATTCTAGGTAGCTCGCCATCATATAGTGTACACTGATTTGATGATATTAGATGACCGGAGGCAATCGGCAGGAAGTCCTACCTGACTTAGATTTCGTGCTAGTTAGCACTGACTAGTCAGCAAGGCGTATCTACAGCCATTTAACATCATCAAATCAATGTGCACCATGATGTCAAGCTACCCAGAATGGTGGCCACATTGCAAACCTGACTGATAGAATTCAGTCTCCACCAAACCAAGGATTAGCTAGACACATCACACTAGTTACTAGTGTCCAATCAAATATAGAGAATATCCGTAAAATAACGGTTGAAATACTACAATCATTTGGAAAAGACATACCGCACAAACCAACACAATCATTTCATTTAATATTATGCAGATCAAAGTATCCATTCAACAGCAAAAGAAGATTAAATCTTTACCACCTACAAAATAAACTGCATAAACTGTGAATTGAAGAGTATAAATTAGCTGTTAAGATACAACACGATCTGTATTCATTCATGCCAATTATGGACACCAATTCAAGTGAGAACATGTGGAAATTTTAAACACAGAGGAAACACTAAATATGCTACCAAGGGATTTCTAGAAACCTTGGTACTCAGCAGATAGGACAAAGATTATCAGACAGACAGACACTATAAATCAAATTTACCAACTAATAATAAGGAATAAACTGCACATGATAAGAAAATTCAAATTTTTAGTCAATAAATAGTGATCAATAAAGATGTAAATTATTAACCAATCACGATAATGGCTGTCAGAGAATATTAAAGCTTACTCTGAAGATGTTGTCTAATTGGACAATGAAAGCTTCGTGATTAAATCAACCAACTCGTTTCGTTTTTCGAACCAAAGATCCAAGGTCTTCTCTAATCATTATATATAATCCCTCGTATGTTTACTAGGCTTGATTTACGTGGTGTATCAAGCAACATTAAGCACAGTGTTCGTTGTTTAATAATGGCAAATAACTGAATCTTGTACATGTGTATTTCGTCTTGTTTGGGACTCTTCAACTTATGTATGTACCTGTATCTCAGTAAGTAATGTATGATACGCTCATCATGGGTCCCATTGTTACCTAACGACTATCAACCAATTAACATTAATTTGCTTTTAATGGACACTATTGACTAGTGTGATGTGTCTAGTTGTTTCTACTGGTGTAAACTGAATTCTATCAGTCAGGTTTGCAATGTGGCCACCATTCTGGGTAGCTCGCTATCATGGTGTACATTAATTTGATGATATTAGATAGTTGGAGGAAATCGGCCAAAGGAAGCCCGACACCCTGACCTAGATTTCGTGCTAGTTGGCACTCATCAGCCAGCGAGACATATCTGCGACCGCCTGGAAGGAACTCATGTCCCTTCTAAGATTTGCACCCGCGTCATCCAATGCTGCCTGCAGTCAATGACGTTACCACTGAGCTAGCTGTTCGGGCTCGCGACTGACCTCCTGTAGTGTCGAATCAAAGCATCTAATACAGTCCTTCAAAGCGGTTGCAGATATGCCGTGCTGATATTGTGAGTGCCAACCAGCACGAAAGCTAGGTCAGGCAAGGCTTCCTTTGGGCTATTACCTCCAACCATCTAATAACATTAAGTTAATTTCAAAGGATCACTGAATCGTCTGTATTTAAAGGGAGATATTTACCAACCAATGACAAAACATTTCAGTGTAGTTAAATAAATAAATGCATGGAGGATTTCATCATGAGCTGACATCAGTTATAGAACCACTGGGAAACCAGGCGGTACTGAACAGCTGTTTCGTTCTAGTTTGGGACACCGCTTCAGAAGTACGCACCCACTGCCAGGGTTTGAACCCAGGGCCTTCTGGTTGCAAGGCGAGCCAGCTTGTAGACCATTGAGCCACTGGGACTCGATCCAATGGTCCTTAAATTCTAACTTCTGCCAATTCACGAATGACATAGCGTGACCATTTCGCAATGTCTTCTTCGGTGAGTTACTACCTCATCTTCAACCTGCTCTACCCTACTGGTCACGGCTTCCTACTAGAACCCCAGATTAACTGCCTGAATAGCACCAGTCACTAGGGATGTCAGCTCATAATGAAATCCTCCTTGCAATCAAACAAAATACCTAAAAAATCAATATTTGAAAAGATATAAATCACGAGGAAATGTAATCTGATTTCAGTAAACAAAAAGTTCACGTAAATAGTCTCACTATTTTCCTTTTCTCATGTGTTTTCTATGTGTATTTTTAGGAGTACGCTTCTATGGATCATCCAGTCAACAATCCACGCACATCTGAAGTGAGCTCAGTTTTTTTTTATATATTTTTTTTAAATTTGATATTTCACGCTTTCACTACTATGATGTAGCCCACCTGGACATGAGAGCTGACAACACGACCCCATTTAAATTATGACTGAATGAGATTCGAACCCGGAACTTATTCGATAAACGTCGACTGCTTAAGGGCCAATGGTAGCCACATCTCACACACTGATATACAATGCCAGTCATCATCAATAAACCAATTACCTAGAAGAAGAGAAACTGTGTGCAGACCCGGTTTAAAAAAGAATTCAAACACACACTGTAGAGCACTCCAGTGTTGAAAAGACTGCAAGAAAAAAAATACCTACTAGTCGTCATCGTAAAGAATGGATATCTGCACGATTTTATCAAAAAGTGTTTAAACTCGAGTGAAAATACCAACAAGGGAACCATCATCAAAGACCACAAAAAAAAAATCCATTTTAACTTACATAAAAAATATCTCTCTGAAATAACAGCTAGAATATTGAAACCGTTTGAAATAGATATGTGGTACATGAGCCAGCCAGCACAATCACTTCATTCGATATTGTGCAGACCGAAAAAAACCCAACAGAAAAAGGGGATAAAATTAATAGCATTTACAAAATAAATTGAAAATGTGAACTGTAACAGACATTACATCGGTGGTCGAAATGGGCATCCCCTTCGAATCATAATCCAGGAACACAAATCAGCTGTGAAAAGACATGATATATATTCCTGTTTCATATCAATTCATGTAGATAATTATGGACATCAGTTTGATTGGGACAATGTCGAAATTTTAGACAGAGGGAATACCAAAAGTGCAGTCAGGGAATACCTAGAAGCCTGGTACTCAAACGAATATGCCATTAACAAACATGTTAATACAGACCGAATGTACCAACTAATAAAAGGTAAATCATGTGACGGGAAAATTTAAAATCCAAGTCAATATAAAATGGTCAATACAGATGTAAAGATGGTTACCGGGAGACACAATTCTATCACTCTTGGAAAATTTAAACCAGTCCACTTTATACTAAAAATTGCGATAAGCTGAAGATGTTTTCCAGAAGGAGGACACCGAAAGCTCCGCGACTAAACCAACCAGCTCAGAGAACACTATTTATAGCAAGCCAATATCATTTTGATGAAAAGCATTTTGAAAATTAAACATATTTATATATTCAGCGCTTAATTCAGTGTCTTCCGGAAACCGGACCTGAAGTTTCCGCCCAACCATTTAATCTAGTGAGGCATTTCACTACTGAAACTCATGCACACCATTGTAGAGGTCATCTGAATGCTTGCGTCACAGGATGAGGCGATACAGTTCTAGTCTCATAAAATGCTAGGTCGAGTGTTCAGTTTTCATGGAAACCATTGTATAATTAATTATTCAGTTAATAGGTACATAATTATAAAGGGATGTTCTACACATCAACAGATGTAAGTATCTGATTACTACCTACCCACGTAGTAACAATTAGTTTTCAAAAGTTATTTTCTGTGGTAGTTGATTTATTTCAAGGCTGATCACGGATTGATATCAGTTAGAGCAGCATTGAAAACCACTAGGGACAATAGGAGAGCTGTTTCGTCCTAGTTTGGGACTCTTCCACTGAATGTTCTGTAGTCTTGCTTTCCAACTGGACGGCCCTAAGTTCGAACCGTGATATAAGCGCGTACTGATGAAGAGTCCCAAGTGAGGATGAAACGATTAGCTGTCCAATACTCCCTGGTGACATCGCCTCGTGTTCACACTTGAAATACTATTTGAAAAACTACTACTAATAATTCATCCTTCTTTCTTAATATAAATTATCAGCTGAAAAGTCTTCGAAGTCTACTGTTATTACGCCCATTGAATTATCATATGATTGTGAGTTGTATTTCTTTCCTTTTTTGTTATATTATGGAACTAAGACAGAAGAAAAGGGGATTGCATATATATCCAGCTGTATCCATGCTTACATATTTATATATACATGTGGCTTTGTACGTCTGTGTATTGTGCTCCCTGAGCTCTTTCTTGTGATACGTTTTTGTGAATATATATATATATATATATATATATATATATATATAGTACTCGTTGTATGTTCTGGAGGTTGAGTTAGGCTACCACCATGAGTTGGGTTGATTTGGTTTGGGGGCTATGCATTAAATTTTCGCTAATAGTAATCTTGTTGTTATGAGTAGTATCGGTGTTGTCGTTGTTGACCTATGTTGGATATTTATCTTGTGTTTTCATCAGACCTTATATAATCATCCTCTCTCTCTATTTCTTCTTGTGTTTTTATCAGTCATATATGTCTGTCCGTTACATTCCTGTTTTCTGTCTGCTATTGTGTGGGCTCTTCTAAATTGTGTGTGTGTGGGGGGGGGATGTGGCTACTTTGAACTGATGCGCTTTTATTTACCAAGGTCTACGTCGTTAGTTCAATCGTTTTGTGTTTGTGAAGTGAAATGTATTCTGTGTGTTTATTGGTCCATATATATATAATCCACTGCTGTGTCGGTACACTTTTTATATATACCCCAGTTACTACATTTAATGGAGATTTATCTGGACAAAGCAATAAGAAGGCATAATTTGTCTGAATCATATAATATGTAGTATTTACGCCAACACATTTCGAACAATCTGATCGCACACATGGACTTGTCATAGGAATATGTATATATGAAATTAATTAAGGAGGGATCACAGCAGCTTGACACCGAGCCAAAGATTGAACGCTGCTGTGTGGTTAAAGTCTTTTTATGCAGCCAATATCATAATTATTGAGAATCTGAAGCCGTTATATCCATCCATCTAAGCGCTTTCGAATATACGAAAAATGATAACACATGCCACTGTATTTACCGATTTGAATGTACGTGTGGGCCCACACACACATAGGGAGGACTTATAGATCTTTACAAGGAAAGGCTGGCTTCAGAGGCGAATAGAATCCCCAGAACCTACTAATGATGAGAACAGATGACGACCTGGCTGCTCTATTGCGAAACATATTACAGAGGAAACAGGACATAAAATTGATGTTTACACACGTCTATTAAACCTATTTATAGAACGTGTTTGGGGCTTATCCTAAAGCCCTAGTTGGAAATCAGGAAGTTTAAACCAGCTTTATCTGTTCAAAAGCAATTCGTGATCAAACTTAAACCTACCTTGGTAAACTTTGTTTTGATATCAGCTAGGGTAGATGTACTATTCTAGTGAGAGCTGTCTGGATGGATGCCAAAATTGTAGACAACAATTTACGTCACTGTTTACGTCTCATATCTTGGTCATGCGGAAAAACAATAACAAACCGCAACCTTGAAGAACTCACCAGCCAATCACAGCAGACGTAACGTGGGCAAATGCGTTTCGCAGATATGTGGCTTAAATTTCTAAGAAACGGTCACAAGCAGTACAGAATAACAACTAATCAGAAGACATTGCTTCTCTGTTGACAATGATGTACATGAAAATCCATAAATTTTCCTTGATTTTCTCGATAAACGACCTGTTGCCTGGCCCTTGTCTTCTCTCGTTATACTATTAGTTTCGTCATCTTCATTGTTATTCTGACGCTCTATATGGCGACTTTTCAAATTGAAATAAGTCAATTTTATCACCTCTTAACTCCTTAATAATTTCATCTATATATTCAAATGACAAGTCCGTGAGTGGTCAGATTCTTTGAAATGTGTAGCGCACAAATACACATAACACGATTCAGACAAATTACGTCTGAATTATTAAAAGGAACTAATTATTTTAAATTTTTGAAGATTCATCTGTTACTATTATTCTCTCTGTTTCCGAGTGGAACATAGGGCTCTAACGGTACATCTACGCCTTGTCATGTTCTCTGGAATCCTTTTAAGCCGGCCTCACGTTTGCTCATCGACTCTCATCTCCTCTCTTCATCTCCACAAGATGTCCTTCTTGTCAGCCTCGAAGCGACGCCCAACTTTTCGTTTTCATTTCGCGTCCCACTTGAGGATGTGCCTGACACTCAATGTGACCCAACGGTGTCCTCAAAGTGTATGTGTGTTCAACCCATTCCCATTAGTTGAACAGTAGGTTCTTGATTACTTCGTTCCCAGAGTTGCTTGTCTCTAATCGTTTCTGGCCATCTGATCTTAAGTATTAGGGCCATTGAAAACACCTTTTGATGAAAATCTTCAGATTGTTGGAATTGCTGTTAGTGACACACGTATCAAGTTTCTTACATCCGTATAGAAGAATTGACTGACTTAACATTAGTGTGGAGAATCCCAATTTCGCCCTTTATACTGTGAAGTGCAGACGATTTCTAAAATGATTTCATTGTGATAAACACCTGCCTTGTCTTCCCTGACCTGGTTTTGTCCTCGGTCCGAACTTAAGTAGGTACGTACTCATGTAGGGTCCCAATCTAGGACGAAACAGTTGTCCAGTACTCCCAGGTTTTCCAATAATCGTCTAAACGATGTCAGTTCATAATGAGATCCTTGATCTTTGTCTCCGTCGTCCGTATCCCACTAATAGTGGTTGCTGCCGCTGGTTATTGTTGTTGTTAGTTGTTGGGTATCTTCGTCACTCACGTCTTCTCTACGCTTACTTGAAGTCCTGTCTTCAATCCTCAACCTGGAAATGTGCTCATTTTCACCTGCGAATTTTCGAGTTTTTGTGATATAAGACATATATCATCTTCGAAGGCTAGATCTTCTAGAGATATAAGGGTGGGAGAATGGAAATGAGAGATTATTGTCGTCAATACATCATTAAATAATCGAATCATAGGAAGGTATCTGTTTGAATCCACTTTAACAGGCTAGGAGAAGATTATACTATTCAGTTTCTGAGCCATGCCCCCATCAATGGCCTGGCTCGACCAAGGTTGGATAGCTGTCATGCAGCCAGGTCTTCTTAACCTCTTCCAGATAAGTCGTATTCATCACCTTCACGTGGTGGGGGCGGTGTTCCTCAACAAATCGTGGAAGGATGAATGCGAAATCTTGCCTCCGACAATCGGACTTGTGAACATGCAGGTCTGCCTAAGGGAACTAGAAATCCCTGATCCCGTTATCTATTGGTGCCAGAATTCGAAAGGATTGAACGGTGTATGAACCTATTTCAGTCACGGAAAACCATGGAAACATAGCTCCTGATGTCGATCCACTAAAATGGTGATCAGACATCAAGTTAAGGACTCGTCGAAGGGTTACTGTCTTAAGACAATCACCTGCTATTTTCTGGGTGTCCCAGCTCTTACACAAGTTATGGATTTTGCCTGCCTCATTTCTTGGTGTTTTAGTAAATCAATAAATATTCCCCAGAATGGCTGCTGAAGTAGGTGGTGTGTGGTTGTGACCTATGACTCATTGGCGAAAAATCTGATTACTAAAGTCAATGATCCACATCTTCACAGCTAGATGGTTACGAAGAAGACGGTATTGTCATTATGGATCTTTAGGAGAGGTAAAAATATCTCATCTGCGCTTAAGCCATCAGTTGGTCTGCTCCTCTATGCAACATATTTATCGAACTCTGCTAATTATCCGGGACAGGCTAAATAATTTTTGTGGGGAGGTGCTGATGATACCACCTATTTGCTTGATCAGATTGAAATAAGTAGAACAGGACTCGAACTCGGGAGCCATGGGTTGTAAAAATCGAGTATTTAAGCCACGCTATGTGGAACAATAGGCAGTAATCTTGTAAATTGGTTTTAAATCAAGGTGTGGGGGGCGGGTTACTCTGAACTTCATTTCAAATTCTTCTTAATTTAGTTAACATCGGATTAAGGTGAACCCTGTTATAATCTATATGTACATATATATATATATATATATATATATATATATTCCAGACCGTCACAATTCGTGTTCAGTCTCCCGTGACACATCATGTACCATATTGACTTTTGTATGCTTTCATCACTGTTCATTACATGTTAGGGAAGTGTACAATTACACACACTCCATCTCTGGCGTAGACGTGATATCCGGCTGTAAACCTTAGGGCGTGTGTACTGCTCAGCAGTTCTCTCTGTCTTCCTTTATCGCTGTGAGCAAGACATGGCCATTGAAAGTGGAATATGTGAAAAGGTTAACTGTCTTTCAGCATAAGTGTCTGTGTTCCATCTCCCGTTTTGAGTGGTATAATAGAGTGAGGAGTGTTGAGATTAGGCATCGAGTGTCAGGTAAGGAGGAAAAGTTAATCGATGAGGCTGTGATTAGCCTACGCCGATTGAGATGGTTTGAGCGTGTGTCGCGCACGCCTAGCCATCACCTTCCTTGACACCAAGCAATGTTAATTGACATAGGAATAGAATTTAACTGGTGAATGGTGACTAACAGTGAAATCCAGGAAAACGCACATTTCTTCCTATTTGGGACTCGTCAGTTGCATATACCTGCATTTCCCGGTGAGTGATGATGTTCCCACCGAGGCTCGAACCCAGTGCCGATAGTTTCAAACGCCAAAGCGTTATTCACTAGATCACTTGGGCCATGAGAGCCACCTCTTGTGCAATGGGGTCATATTAATTATTTAATTGAATTTGAGATCTTCCCGTCGATTGATTAGACCGAAGTGCTCGGTCTCAGGTTGACATCATGGATTCCACTACTAGTCACCATCCACCAGTTAAATTCTAATTAAATACCCAGACATCTTCGAAGCACCTGCAGAAGAAGCCGACTTGTCAACCTGAGACCGAGCACTTCAGTTCAATCAATCGACGGGAAAATCTCAAATTCAATTATTTGTTAAATGACATAGGATTAGGTTGGAAAAGAGTCATCAGTCAATGAAATCCACAACAGTTAGTTTAAACCAGCCAGCCACATGGGGAGGTGTAGACGTGCAGGTTGGAGTCCTGGGTAAGACAAAAATCAATGACTGCTGGAGACAATTGTTGATATGGCTCGAAATCGTTCTCAGTGGTTTTGTAATTTATAATATACAAAAAAAAATTCTATTGTTTTTCCCCACTCATACTTCTGTTTATTATCTGATCTGACGAAAGATCTGGTCACAATCTCATATGAGAATGCAGATCTTTTCAAATCAACCGTTTTAAATTGCTGTCTCGATTACATCAACAAAAAACCCAGCCTTCGTAATTTACTTTCAAAAAGAACATCAAAGGCAGCCTAGTGAACTGAAGGATAATGAAAACTTGATCATCACACGACCAGATAAAGGCTCCGGAATCGTCTTGATGAACAGATCAGACTACCTAAGCAAACTCTCGGCGATACTATGTGATGATAAAAAGTTTCAGAATTAGTCTCCACAGAAAGATCCCGAATAGCGAACAGACGGACCTCCAGCTAACAAAGATATTGTAGAAAATGAAAGTCGAATCCATTATCAGTTCAAAACTATACGAACAACTGCGCCCATCTGGTTCTACAACGCCGCGCATATAGGACTTATTTAAAATGCACAAACAAGACGTCCCATTGCACCCAATACTAGATATGATAGATTCCCCATAGAATACAATCGCGAAATAAATGGCTTGTGGAGATTCTTGGGCCGGTGAAAGAGAAGCTGTGAAGACACAACATCCGTGACACACTCGACTTCGTTGATTCAATTAAGAATGTCAACGTGGCAGACAAGAAAATGGTCTCTTTGGATGTCGTCTCTCTCTTCACCAAACTTTCCATTGACAGAGACCGTATGTTTCCTTTGTGACTACATTCAATCCAATAGCATCGATGTTGGTATACACCGAACCATTACTTGAAAAAGCTATTATCTCTCTCTTTTTAGAATTTCTCTGTACTCTCTCCTCTTGCTTTGTAAGCTATATGGATAAAGGGTGGCAACTCGAACTGTTACACATCTGTGCAAAGTCCTACGTTGAAACAAGTCGGCCAGTGTACAATAACACTTATAGTTCTTTGCATACTTTCAGTGACATTCTAAGGTTAGAAAAGTAGAGCAATTTTTGTAGTATTAATCACCAAAATAATGATTGAGACCCTCCTTCTAGATTGTATCAGTCATGTATATTTCTTCCACTTTCCACTTCCTGTTTTCTTCCAATTGTCTTTTTTTCATTTTATTCAAGGAAGCACCTGCAGCGACCACCAGTTCTCAAAGTAACCTTTTACTACTTGACAAAGAAGATTCTGTATCATTTCTCAGTGCGTTAAGAGTACCGGTGAGTAAATTATTTAATGAATCAATACATTTCTAAACAAAAAAATAATCAATACATGATAAATTTATTTCATTTTTCCCCTTTTTGGAATAATTGAACCGACCTCTGTTCAGCCTCTGTTGTCACATGTTGTTAGCTCCCTATAACTGTGGTTGCTTCGAAGATCATTGAAGATCAACGTGATGTGATTTTTAATTAATGGTGATGTTATAACTGTAGGGAATTGAATGAAGACGTTTTCACCTTGCTCTGTCTGCGCCTGAACTAATCTGCCTATCTGCTTGTCGTACCTTCCGATTTAGTAAAGCACGCAAATATCAAAAGACAAAGGCTGGACTGTGACTGTGTATTGAAGTGCAACAACGACAAAGAAAGCCATGGTATTTATACATTTTACAACAATATGGACAGCTAACAGCATTTGAAATAATTTATCTTAATAGCCAATAACAAAGTGCGTGAGAGATGATAATATACCATATGTGCGAGATTGACAGTCAATAACAAAATGTGTGGGAATGATAATATACCATATATGCAAGATTAAACAGTCAATACCAAAATATGTGGGATCCTATCACCTCCCCCGTAAAGAGTGTAGGACTTGCTTTTTGGATCTATTTGAAAAGGTTTCGGAGCTCTTCTTTGTCGAGTTGACCTTTGCGTGGTACTGGATAGAGCGTGATCTGTGTGTCTGACACATAACTGTCCTTTTTCATTCGTACGATAATGCAGCAAGAATTTATCCAAAATTTCTTCTGTTGTTCCCTCCCCCTTCGCTTTTGCATAAGCACGCTTAAAGGTGTCGACGAAACGTTCAGTCTGTCCATTCGATTGGGGATGATACGGGGGGCTACGAATATGCTGGATGCCAAACAGTTTGCAGCAACCAAGTTTGTCCTGGAAGACAGAAGCGTGCTTTTGACGACGGCGTTGCAAGAGAGATTGATCAGATACATCTCCGGGAACAACGTTGTGTGGTGAAGACGAAACATTAGAGCATACTGAATTTAATGGTACATTAAAGATATGGAGCTTGTCTAACCAGTCAAGACCAAGCAAATTCAAATCATGGTAGTTTGTAACGTAACATACACCATTGAAGTGATGCTCACCAAACTGAACCTGGCAATTTATCTCACCCACGAGTTTCAGTATATCTCCAGAGACATTCTTGGCGACATGCTCGGTCGGCAGAATCTGTGGGCAACCAAGTTTGCGCCACGTAGTTCGGGAAATTACGGTGATATCTGATGCCGTATCCAACTGAAGACGAATACGTTTGCCGTTAATATCTAGTGTTATGTACTTACGTTTGCTGGCGAACTCGACTTTGGAAGTTGTGAAAACGGTCTGTACTCGAGGAGATTGTTTCGGCTTGAAACGACTACTTCTGTTCCTCACCGAAGAATTTTTCTGCGGTGTACAGTAACCCTCCTTATGTCCAAAACGGTGACAATTACGGCATTTATGTTTCTTGAAAGGACAGAACTTGACAAAATGCCACGAACCACAGTGCCAGCACACTGAAGGAGGTTTAGCTGAATTTTGAGACTGACGTTCTGTGTGCTTAACGGTGATCGGAGGACTTTTCACTGTGTTAATCGAACCAAATTCAGACGACTGTCGTTTGCACTCCACCATAGCAGTATCGTGCTTCAAGTTGATTAAACGTAGGCATTCTGCTGTCACCATTTGTAAAGTCATTTTCGGGTCTTGTTCCACGAGTGACAGAAGTCGAGTTCGTATGTCAGTATCTTCTGGGTTCTTCAACCCACAAATAAAAATCAAACACTTGAACTGATCTGATGTCATTTCGTGTGGTTTGAACCTTTCACATTCCTTGTTCACTTTGCCAGCGTAAGTCACATAATCATCGGAAGGCATTTTTGTCAACTGAAAACATTGATACCGAATATTAAACATGGATGACTGTTCACCAAAGATTTGTGATAAAACGGTGACTGTCTCATCGAATGATAACTCACGTGGGTTCTTGGGCAGAATGAAGTTAACATATCTGTTGTGCTCAACAGTACCAAGTTTTCTTAGTAACAATCGGACTTTGGCAGCATCATCAAACATGTAGCATTCAATACGGAAAACGTCTTCGTAACGATTGAACCATGCATCAAATACGAGACCAGATATTGGGTCGTAGTTGAACTCACTGATGGAATTTGAGATGCTTTCATATTTGTCAGAATGAGATGTTGATGGAACTTGAATGGACAGCTTCTGAGTGAGAGCTTCGATTAATTTTAGTTGAGCTGCTTCATTCTGAACTTGCTGCTGCTGCAAGATAGATTTGAGATCGTCCAGAGAGATAGACATTGTAATTGGGTTGTAATTAACACAGTCAAAAATGTTATATAGCTGCGCTGAACAGAATAAAAACTGTCGTCGTTTGCTTGCTATAACTGCAATGAATTAAGGTAAAACCCCGTCGCCAATTTGTTATAACTGTAGGGAATTGAATGAAGACGTTTTCACCTTGCTCTGTCTGCGCCTGAACTAATCTGCCTATCTGCTTGTCGTACCTTCCGATTTAGTAAAGCACGCAAATATCAAAAGACAAAGGCTGGACTGTGACTGTGTATTGAAGTGCAACAACGACAAAGAAAGCCATGGTATTTATACATTTTACAACAATATGGACAGCTAACAGCATTTGAAATAATTTATCTTAATAGCCAATAACAAAGTGCGTGAGAGATGATAATATACCATATGTGCGAGATTGACAGTCAATAACAAAATGTGTGGGAATGATAATATACCATATATACAAGATTAGCAGTCAATACCAAAATGTGTGAGAATGATAACATACCATATATGCAAGATTAAACAGTCAATACCAAAATATGTGGGATCCTATCAGGTGATTATTAGCTGTAGGGAAGACGGGCTCGAAGTGGAGAGACAGGAGAAAGTCAAAGCTTCCTACTATCACGGATGATATTCTTAATTGTGGTGAACTGGATTATGCGTCAGACTGTGCGTAGGGAGTGAGAAGACAGAAATACGCTGCACTGTGAAGGGAGTGCCAAGAAAGTACATTGCACTAATCAAGGCACTCTATTCAAACTTACGCAGCTGTGTGAGGGCTTATGGGGAATTGTCATCTGAATTGATAACAACCAGTGGTGTCCGACAGGGATGTCCACTTTCCCCATTTCTGTTTAACTTCATCATAGATATGCTGATGAAAGTATCCTTAACTGAACGTAATGATTTAGGAATCGACTTGTTACCAGGGAATAGTCTTATGGACTTAGAATATGCAGATGACATAGTCCTGTTAGGGGGGGATGCTGAAAAAATGCAGAGTCTTCTGAACACCTTGAGCAACAATCGTCGTATGTTTGGCATGCGATTCGCCCCTGTAAAATGTAAGATGCTACTACAAGACTGGACTGCGTCAACTCCTAGCGTAGTGATAGGGAGTGAAGTGATAGAACGTGTTGACCACTTCACCTATTTGGGTAGTTGTATCAGCACCAACGGACTGATTGGCGACGAAATCTCAGCACGGATCCAAAAAGCTCGAGCTGCTTTCGCTGACTTACACCATCTCTGGCGTAGGCGTGACATCCGGCTATCAACCAAGGGACGTGTGTACTGCTCAGCAGTTCGTTCCGTCCTTCTCTATGGCTCTGAAACATGGCCAATACGCGTTGAAGACATGAAAAGGTTGACTGCTTTCGATCTTAGATGTTGCCGATCTCTTTCTCACGTTAGGTGGTATAATAAGGTAAGTAATGATGACGTTAGGCGTAGAGTGTTGGGCAAAGAGGGAAAATCAATCGACGAGGCTATAAAGTTAGGTAGATTAAGATGGCTAGGTCACGCGCTGCGCATGCCTAACCATCGCCTCCCCCGACGACGGGCATTACTAGCTGATATAGGTGCAGGTTGCGTCGGTGGTACCGGTGTTTGGACGCTCGCCGGGGTTCGATCCCGGGCCGATGCACTCCTTTACCTCGCTAAGTCAGTAATAGAACTGGCAAAGAGGGAAGGTTGGGCATGAGGCTAGCAATCCCATCCTGTAAAAACAAACACTGCTACAGAAACTTCAGGCGTCTAGCTCGAAGCCCTATTGGGAACGTGAAGGAATAAAAAAATAGGTGCAGGTTAGAAAAGAGTAAGTGGTGGCTAAACAAAAACCTGACTTCATCAGTCAATGAAATCCTTGACAGTTAAACTGAGTCAGGTAGGGAGGGAGATGCAGACTTCCGGGTTGGGGCCCTCAGGACTCTAGGAATCAATGGCTGGAGACAATAGGTGACATGGCTCAAAATCGTTGTCAGTGGCGCGGATATATTCAGTCTCTGTAATCTTTCATATTCCTTTCTACCATTACTCATTCTGTTTCACTCTTATACTTGTGAAACTCTATTGATTCTCTCCACTCATCTTCTTGTCTACCTTTGTGTGCTATTTGGAAGGTGGCAACTCGAACTGGTGCACTTCGGTGCCGAGTTCTATGATGAATCTTGACAGACAGAATACGCTGCGTCGACCGATAAGAAGACTCTAGCAGATTTGGATTTCGTGCGTGGATGATTTATGTTGATTGTCACACACACACAAACTCAAAGACTTACAGGCAGGCAGGCAGGCAGGCAGGCGAAAACTGACAAACTGACTGAAGAGACAGGCAGTGAAGACAGATCTCCAGGTGAACATAGACAAGGCGGAGGTAATGAAGGTAACCAAACAGCCACCCAACAGTAACACCACCACCACCAACAACAACCAGTACCAATCACCATCAACGGGTGAGATTTAACAGAGGTTACTTCACGCCTTCACTTATCTGGTTAGGAAGCACAGTTTCAACCACAGGCAGGCAGTCGGAACGGATGAAGATGTCAAAACCAGTCAGCCAGCTAGAATCGGAAAGGCAAGATACGCCTTCATCAACCTGAAACCAGTTTGAAAATATTCCGCTTCACTCACTCAGTCAGCATAAATAAAAAGATTCGGATTTTTGAAATACATGTCCAGTCAGTCTGTGTTTCTATACGAGTCAGAAACATGGCAGGCGCGTCACGTAAAGGATTTTGCAAGAAGCTACAGACTTTTACCATTAGCTGCCTTCGCTGGTGCCATACTGAAGATCAAATGACCAGCCGGCCGGGCGGGGGGGGGGCAGAAAGAATTAGTAACAAGAAACTGTGGCTGAGAACAAACCAACCAAAAGCCGATTGTTCAACAGATATGTTGGAGATGGATCGGACATACTCTGTGGAGGCCGTCTAATGACATTGCGCTCAATTCATGCCATTGCTCGAGTGAAATCCCAATGGGATAGTAACATGGAGGAGATAGTGTGAGTTGAAGGATTGGGGAGAGATTATGGGCAATAGGTCAGAACACCAAGAAACAGAACAAAGTGAAGATATGTTGTTGAAGCCCTATGTTCCACTTTGAACCTAAGGGAATAATAATAATTAGCCATGGAATACTCAGGACACGCAGTTTTGATCCTATTTTGGGCTTTTCAGCCGAATGTGTTTGAAACAATTCCCCTCCCTTAGTGAGTAATGGTGTTCCTTGCCACCAAGACTCGAGTCTAGTAGCCACATTTTCAAACAGATTACAAAAACCAATAACTGATACCCTTTTAAATAAGAAGTGGCTCTCATGTCTCCAAGTGGTCTAGTGGATAGCACTTTGCCGTTTGAAACGATGGCTGCTGGATTTCTGTCTCATTGATCTTCCTGTCGAAATGCAGCCATGTGGCCACACGTTCACAGCCTCCTCTGCCAAGTGAGTCTTATTCACTGCCTTTGTTTGATGGGGTCGGGGTGTTCCTCAAGAAACAAAGTGAAACAGAGAATGCGGACATCTGATACTTTCAATCGAATTCGTGGAAATCTGCAGTTCTACCTGAGGATGTTGGAAAACATCGATTCCAAATCCATAGTGTACACATAGGCTCTGGAATCCAAAAGGATCAGATGGCGTGTAAAGTCGTTTATATCACTGAAAGTCATGAGAATGCAGATTCTGATGCTGTGATCCACTGCCTAGTTGATCAGACGTCAGGTCAAGAGCTTTATGGGAGTGGTGACCCTTAGGATTAGTCAGAATACGACAGATAACTTCAACTGCCTTGTTAACAACAAATTCATGTTCAAGTCAACGAAACAATCAACACCAATACCAATACAAGTAGCAGTCTAGAAGGTGTGAAAACACACAAAAACAACCAAACATGACGTTCAAGGTTACCCAGCAGGAGAGATGACTTATAAACTCTATGGGGAAATGTGAAAAAAGTCGCTTCACTTCAAATTGAAGTATGCGCTGAAGGAAGATGTTGCCTAGTAAGCAGGGCAATGAAAGCTTTGCAAATACACTATCCAGCTTAGAGAAACACAACCACATCAAAATCATGTTCAGCCTACATAATACTGAGCTGAAACAGAGCTGCGAATAGACCTGGTTCGTCTTGGTTTGTGTTTTGATGCTTGAGAAATGCAATGCTGAACATGCCTAGTCGTACGCCTTTTGCGACTAGCTCCACTCGAGTAGTTAAATTATTAACACATATACACAAAATTTGTAGTTGAAAAAATGTTGGAAACGTAAGAAAGATGTGAAATGGATTATTTGATGATAAACAGTCTGTGAATTGCGTAATAATGTTGTAATGTTCTTTTTATTCCTTTACGTTCCCAGTGGAACATAGGGCAGCTTCAGCTAGAGACTTGAAGTTTCTGTAACAGTGGTGATTATTTTTACGGGATGGAGTTGCTAGCCAGCCTCATGCCCAACCTTTTCTCATTACTAGTCTTATTGATGGCTTACGGAGTTAAATGAGTGCGTCTGTGGTCGGGGATCGAGCCCGAACCACCTGTGTGATTGGCGAGCACTCTACCTCTGTGCCACTGACGCACAATGTTGTACTGTGTTCGACCGAATTTCGAGAAAGGTTCAAAAAGCACATCTTCACAGCACCCTACTCCTAACATTTCCCTTTAGATGGTCACACGATCGCCTATAAGCTCTGATTTTCTTCCCACACGCGGTCCTGTCCATATTACCCTCGGACTCCTACCTTGTCGTTTCACATATGGACTCCACTCAAGGATCTGAAGCGGGATTTGATTTAGCGGTCACCTTGGCATGTGCCCGGTGTATCTGCATTTCTTTCTGTGTACTCATTGGGTAGCAGGTTGTTGGTTAGTTCGTTCTTACAGTCCTTTGTGAGTTAATCCTTCCGGGCTTGCCATTTGATCCTCAGGATATAGAGCCAATAAAGGTAGATGTTGAAACAAGTCTACAGTATGTTCAAAATTCTTTTCATGACGTGTCAATTATATGACCCATATGAAAAGAACTGACTGTCCTAACATTGGCGTTGAAAATTCGAATTTCGCTCTTTATGCTGAGGTGGAATGCAGGAGATTTCCAAAAATGATTTCAGAGTGTTGAAGGTCTGACTTACTTTTCCGACCCTTATTCTGACATCCGCATCTGTGCTGGTAGTGTGTAGTTGAAACGATAATGCCTGTCTTTGCTGCCTGCCTCCTTCTGCCAACTTGTTGATTTTCACCTGTAAATCTTCGACTACGTGTGACACTGGACATAAATCATCCACACGCGAAATCCATATCTTCTATAGCCTTCTTATCGATTCAATACGTTCCTGTCTCTCCACTCCTCGACAGACTGCCGCATGATGCATGATATCATCGGTGATAATGGAAAGCGGTTTTGTCTTACTCTAGTGGTCTTCATTTCAAAAGCTTCGCCGAGATTCCCTTTGTGGATCACCTGACACTTGGCATTGTTGCATAACCAGCTGTTGAGTGTGGTTGATAAAGATTCGGGGGCACTGCACTCCATTGAGTAGAAGTAGTTTCCAGATTACTTCATGGTCAGGTCAACCCTGTCGTAGACCTTTCAAACTCAATAAACTTGAGGTAGAGATTTCACCTCTGGGTCTATGCTCTGTTTGATGATGATGCATAGAGCTGCAATTTGATCTAGCACCTGATTTGCTTTTCATGAATCTAGCTTCTACCGGGTGCCTGAGTTCTGCATCCAAAGTATCTTTCAGTCTCTTCAAGAGGATGTTACTTAAAAATTTGCTTGACGTGGAGAAGAGCATGATTCTGCGTCAGTTCTTGCAGAGGTATAAATTAACGAAAACTCATAATCCACTCAGTTTATTCACAGTTATCTAAAGTCCTAATGTGTGTGTATATCGGTGTATTAAATCAAGACAGCTAGCCTATGTATGCCAGTTTTAAGATTGATTTTTTTGGTCTTCTACAGTATATATATTTATGTGTTCCGTTTAAATCCTTTGTATACTACTGTAATGACAGAAGACAAGGGTCAGGCAACAGATCGTTTATTGAAAAAATCAAGAGATATTTATAGATTTTTATGTACATTATCCATCAGCAGAGAAGCAACGTTTCTGATTGGTTGTTTTCTTGTTGAAGGTTATTCTGTACTGCTTGTGATCGTTTCTTAGAAAGTTAAGCCATATATCTGCGAATTGTATCCGCCCACGCTAAGTCTGCTGTGATTGGTTGTTGAGTTCCTCAAGGTTAAGCCTGTTATTGTTTTTTTCATGACCCCGATTCGGACGTAACATTGACGTAAATTACTGTCTACAATTTTTAGCTTGCAGCTACCTCTCACCACACTACTATTGTCATTACTATTCTAAGCTTACTGTAGACAAAAGAATGCAGAAGGCACGTTTTCTTTAACCCTGCATTATACTAGTAGTCCACTGGTGTTTCACAATGACTTGATCATTTTATTACTACATATAAATGGAAATGAGTTACTACCACCCAGTGCAGTTGATGAAACCTCACAGAGGCGAAAGAAGTGTCTATGTATATATATATATATATATATGCCAATCGTCTTTTTCTCTTTGATGTATAACCTTTTCCAATGTTTGTTACTCATTGTTTATTTGCTTACATGCCTTCTCTACTTTTTCAGGGTGTTATTGAATACTCATTGACCTTATTCTTTGCTAAATTAGTCTCCTACACCTTTCTATTCTGGTTACCGTTGTATATACGTGATGCTGGTGGTTTTGATCCATCTGCTTCAGCAGATTTATCAGCTGTTTTTGATCTCGGTGGAATAATCGGTGGTATTATTGCTGGTTATGTATCGGATACAACTGGTGCAAGTGCTATCACGTGTGTTGTCCTGCTTATATTATCAATACCTACAGTAAGTGAAATATCTGGAGTTATTATGATGATTAGTATTACTGTTACTAATCTCTTCACACCTTTGAAGCTAGCTCCATGATTGCCTTTAGGCTGTCATCTACTCCTCACATGGATTTGTTCCATATCACCCTCAAAGCGACGCTCACCTTATCGTTTTCCATCTGGATTCCATCCTGGAGGTATATCTGGCATGTGGTGTCAGTCAACGATCTCCTGAGACGTTTGTCCGATGCATCTGCATATATTTATTGGCAATTAGATTCTCGGTTGGTTCGATGCTTACCAGAGTTGTTTTCTTGCTTATCCTTTCTGGTCGCCTATTTGATCTTCTGTCTCATGAAGGGGAAGAGAGAGAGAGAGAGCTGTTGATGTGTGCTGTCTGTACTTGTAACGAATGCTGTCTAGATAAATGCAAGAAGTGTCCATCAATAGATTTCTCTTATTCAAATTGCAGAATATACATATTTGTTTATAGGGAATAATTTAAAAGACACAGTTGCAGTGAGGACGATTTTCTTTTCGACGAAGTCACCATCAACTAGGCTGTACATTCGTGTATTTATAATGATAAATGGGTGGGAAAGTTCCAGAATAATTTCCGGTTAGGGGTCAAATTAATAAAATTACAATTAGGAATTAAATGCCATAATAAACAGGAGAGGGACCGATAAAACTGAAAAGATTGACATATTGTGCAATTAGGGGTTAGAAATGTAGATGTTTGGATAAGAAGGGCAATGGGATATTCACCATTAGACGAATTACCTGTTTACGATGGCCATGGCAGAGGGGACAAAGGTTGGACGTATTTCTCTTGGATACATAGCGTGGGAATAAGCTTTTGGATGACTAATGTCTCGGCTATGCCCAGATGTCTTGATTTTACTCCCTTTAATAGATTTGATCGAATCTTGTATACGATTTTGAAGGATTTTCCAATGCTGCTGAATGTCCTGAATTGACCAGATGTTCTGTCACTAAACTATATACACGTTTTCGTTCTCCTTTTACCAGCCAGGCTGGATAGTGTTCACAAGATCTTTTTTAAAATTGATGCATGGTACGGCCGAGGTACTCAGCTCCGCGTGGGCAATTAAACTGGTATATGCACGTTGAAGTGACCAAGTGTGACAGCTTATCTTTCTCGTTCTGGCTGAACAGTTTCTTGCAAGGAAACGTCAGTCGTAGGCTTGCGGCTTACTATGTTTTCCTCAGAGATTCGCATGGTGTTTCCGAAGGATTTTTGCTTCAATGTCACCTTTGAATTCTAGATTAAGCATAAGTATCTTCTTCGGGACAGAGTGGACTTGTTCAGAAGTCTTCTTTGACTTTAGATTCTTGTCTATGAACCTAAACGGAAAACCGCTTTCCATCAAGGTTCCTCTGAGATTACTCAGTTCTTCGTCAATCACTTCCTCGCTGCTTATCTTCCGAATCCTCGAGGAAAGAACGGGTATAAAGTTCCCCTTTCTGCTTAGTGACACAAATCTTTGGAAGTTGATGAATTACTTACTTACTTTACTTCGGCTATCTCCACGGGAGGATGAGCCGGCTTCATGAACCATGAAGTTTCATGGGAATTAGGTACGAGTGATGTCCCCAGGATCGCTCGGCCTTTTGTTTGAGAGTGCAGCTCTAGCCTTTACACAACCAAGTGTGACCTACAAGGCAGTAGGAGTGGAGTAGGGAGTCCACTATCCATTGGAAGCCGGTGACCGGAGTCCGGTTCATACGCCTTTTTGAATGGGGCCAGACATCCAGTGCATCCAATAAGCCCTTTGTCCATACGTCTGCCGGTGAGCTCCGATGAGCTTCATTCGCCAGTCGTTGGAGGTTTGGAATCAGGGTTTAGCCATCTCCCCTAGACTGTCATCCAATGGACAGTCAACCCAGTGAAGAGCGCCGGGCATCCGCTTTTGCCCTCTCACTTCGGTGAAATAAACACCTCCGCCACGTGAAGGCAGTGAGTAGGACTTCCTCGGGAGGGGCTATGTAAGACGCCCGGTTATATGGGAGCATTTCAAGAGGTGTACGGAGGGGTGGCGAACCCGAAGCGCAAGACACCCACCCCGACCATCCCGAGGCTTTGGAGGCTTTTGAAAAAAGTTGATGAATTGTCGATTGCATGTGTATTTTTGTGTATTTGGACCTATTGAGAGTGTTGTCGGCGTTTCTTGTCAGATGGACTTCAAGAAAGTGGAACATTCCGTCGGATTCAGCTTCAGGAGTTTAGTCGATGTTTCGGTGGGCGTTGTTAAAGGTTTGAAGTAAGTTTTTAAGGTCCAGGTTGTCATCACAAATGATGAAAATATCACCAGTGTACCTCTTGTAAAGATTGGAGGTCAGTGACAGTCAATGACAAGAGATTGTTTTCGAGGCTGGCCATGAAACAGTTGATGGTTATTAATTACCACCAAGTGATTCACAACCGTGAAAGTTCAGTGCACCTGTTGAAGTGAAGACAGAAAGAAGACATAACTGTTGATGCTGCTCACATTTTCGTGATATTCTTCCTGATTGTCGTGGACTAGATCATACAAAAGACAGTAAAATATATTTTAGATTGGAGTGGTGCAAAGAGACTGGACACGGTATCAACATGCCAAAATCAATCAGTTGACAGGAGAGATGATGAAATGTCTATTCATATCACTGTGTCGTCCTAATCTGAATCTATTCTTCTTATTAGCGCACAAACCCATGAACCTAAAGGGAGTCGAACCCAAGTTACGATGCCTACCCAATGATCAGTGAATCTTAACTTTGATCATTTCCCAATATACATCGAAAATATTCATTCAGACATCTGGAAAAATAATTGAGCAAAGAATATTCTTTTCGATAATTTCCTCTTCTGCCTCTACAATTATATGTATGCTTATATACATAGAATATTCTAGAATAGTCGTCATTAACAATATTCGCGTTTTTTTTTTTATATACTGCCTATTTGTTAAGTAAGATCACAATGGAATTACAGTTCATTAAAGATGCTTAGATTATAAGAATAATAATTATGTAATAATAAATAGAATCTCAAATAAAATTGAGGAAATTTCCACACAAAAAATGAGGTAAAAAGAGCATTCCGTACTGCAGAATTACGCTGTGTTTTTCAAAACCACCTACCCCTATTTTGCGTTTGGCAGTAAAAGACAAACTGCTTAATTTCGCCCTCTTCCATGTATATCTACCAATTGAACTGCTCCTGTGGAGCATACAAAAAACGCCACAGAAGTCTTACAAACCTGGTAGTCTAATTAATTTACAGTTAATAAACACATGGATCTAGATCGAACTTATCAGTCAATTATAAAATTAGATCACATGAGATTAAAAGATCAGATATCATGTCAAGTGATCAATAAATAATACAAGTGTAATATAATCAATCATAAAGATAATCAATAGGATATCAATCTATCAATTATCACACAGTGACAGCCATCAATACAGACCAATGGAAAACTCGTAAAAATTCACTTCACACACACACACACCTTGAAGTTAACTTTGAAGATGTTGTCTAGTTAGGACAATGAATACCTTGCAATTCTATCGTCCAACTGAAAGAAGGAAAAAACCAGAGACAAGAATTAGTTACCTTTATATATATATATATATATATATATATATATATATATATATATATATATTATTTTGATTGGTATTCACACTGTGTATTGTGATTGAAGTAGTAATTGATTGATCATCATCAACGAGCCGAGAAAAAACCAGAATTTCTATTCGCATCATTAATGACTCGAAGTCGAAGGAAGATACTCGGATTATATTATTATTATTATATCCTTTAGTTCCTAGAGGAACATAGGGCTTCAGCTGCACGCCTCCAATGAAACTGTTTTGTTCTTCGTTATTACTCCTTTGTCTCACACCTCTGCTCACTGTCTCTATTATGCTTTTCTTGTACTTTCTTCTCTTGCTTCGCGTGCTACACGGAGTGTGGCGACTTGAACTGGTGCATATTTGTGTAAAGTTCTATGTCGAAAACAGACAGACAGACAGCTGCGCACCTCCATCGCCTTTTGTTTTCTGCCAACTTTTTCACCCCGCTCCAAGTCTGTCCACATGCTTTCATCTCCTCTTCACATGACCTCCTCCAAGTCACCTTAGCACTGACGACCAACTCGCCGCCCTCTTCCCTTTCGAGTTCCACTCGAGCAATGGCTTGTGTAGTGATGTCACTTGATGGTTTCCTCAGAGTATGGCCAACTAATCCATCTCCATTTCTTCCTGCGTATTTGTTTCGCGATCGGTTCCTGGTTGGTTCGCTCCCAGAGATCCCTGTTGCTGATGATTTCTGGTCGGCCATCTGATCTTGAGTATTGAGCGAAGACAACTGTTGATGAAGGTTTGAAGTTTGTTTGAGATGCTCTTTATGACTCGCCAAGTCTCTGATCCGTATAGTAGCACTGACTTTACATTAGAGTTAAGATAAAAATCTGCACTAGCCTGTCGGAAATACTTTTTCTGATACATCGAGATTCTAGTCCTCATTGAAGAAACTGACTGACTGACTGACTAAACATTGGTGTTGAAAACCCGAAGATTGTTTTTGATGCTGCGTTTAGCAGAGATTTCTAAATTGATCTCACAGTGATAAAAGTCTGTCCTGCCTTTCCAGTTCTGGTTTTCGACATCCTTATCTATGGAGTCGTCTGTATAATTGAAACAACACTCTCTATAGGATAAGTGAGGAAAGTGGCCTGCTTCAAATTTCTTCCTATGATAGAGATTGATGTTTCCGCATAATCCAATCGATATCACAATTTAAAAATGACATCGGTGATAATAGACAGCCTCTGTCTAGTGTGCATTGAAACAAATCAGTCCACTATTATTATTATTACTTCCTTAACTGTTTTTGATAAAACCTGCATCAGAAAACTTTATATTATATATTACCTTGCCCCAGAGGAGTAAGTGAACTGATCGAAGAAGCGTATGAATTTGATGAAGCACGAGGTGTTAAAGAAGGACTGAGTGCTTGGAAAATATTAATCTCAGTGTTGATGTGTGGGTGGGTGGATAGATAGGAGTGGGGAATTCTCTCTCAGAGAAGAAATTAGTATCCTCCTATAGTTAAAATTTCAAAAAGGCAGTTAGTTACTTTTAAATTCAATGTCCAACTATGGTGTGTGTGTGCTACTGATAAGATTTATCAGTAGTATATAAGGAGACGCCCATCATCAAATAGCAGGGAGATACATTTGATTTCAGGGAGGGCAAATGATACACCGTTGTGGAGCTACATTGGAGAAGTAAAAGGCCCACAAAGAAACACACGCGAAGTTAATAAGTACCACAACATGAAGATCTGTGCAAATGGTGCGTTGAAGATAAGGTATACATAATTTGCCTATGTGAAGATAACTAATTGCACTTAAACATCCCCTTACCGGGTCTCCTTCTTCTCTGCATGGAGGGTTTCATGATGAGCTGACATCAGTTAGAGAACCACTGAAAAACCAGCACTGGAGTAGTGGACGGTTGTTTCGTCGTAGCCTGGGACTCTTCAGCTGTATGCACCCACCGGGTTCGAACCCAGGACCTTCTGGTTACAAGGTTAGCTCGTAGAACATTGAGCCACTGGGACCCGACACAATGGTCCTTGAATTCTAACTTCTGCCAATTCATGACATAGCGCGACAATTTCGCAATGTCTTCTTCGATGAGTTACTGCCTCATCTTCAACCTGCCGTATCCTACTGGTCACAGCTTCCCGATAGAATCTTCGTCTTCTGCTGTGTTACAACAAGCATGAAAGATGTACAAGGCAAAGCTATTGACATCCAATATTGAATTCTAATACATCATAATACGACGCAATATAGTGTCACCTTTTCGAAAGTATTAGGTGAACAGACGATACAGTGACTAATCCTTGCACACTTATATATTCATAAATGACGTGACTGATAAACTTCAGTCAGCACTGGAGACTAAATACATGGCTATTTTTGTTATATCCTAATGACCAATCACCGAATGCATTACAGTGCTATAGGAGGAGGCCTTTTGGGGTCCGAATATCACAATTACTGCAGTGCTGACGATTAGGGTTTGAATTCCGTGGAGATAACGGGGTGGGGTAGGGGGGGGTGGACATCAATTCGTGAGATGTTGCAGACACGTCTTATTTGACTAGTATGCTTAAAAGCCAGTTCGAGATTTTCCTGCCATGTAACACACTTATTTAGAATGCATCACTATGGCGAGTAATCACTTGACTCAACTCAAAGAATTCATTTGGTATTTTTATTGACTCAGTTCACTGAACAGGTTTACCATGCTCCAGGTTATGAACCGCATTTATTTTGTGTGTGTGAGAGAGAAAGAGTTAATTATATTATTGTCTCCTTTAGTTTCTAGAGGAACATAGGGCTTCAACCGCTCACGTTTCCATTGCTCTCAGTTTTCCGCCAACGTTTTCATCACCTGGCTCCACATCTGCTCACATGTTTTCATCTATCCTCTTCAAATGAGCTCCTCCATATCACCTTCACACTGTGACGACCAACTCGCTGCCTTCCATTTGGGTTCCACCTAGAGCGATGACTTGGTGTGTGGAAGATCACTTGGTGGATTGTTTTCTCAGAGTATGATCAACCCACCTTCATTTCCTCCTGCATATTTGTTGCACTGTTGGTTCCTACTGGGCTGGTTCACCCCGAGAGATCCCTGTTACTGATCTTTTCTTGCCGGACATATGATCTTGAATGGTATTGAGTGAAGACAGCTGTTGGTTGAAGATATGTAGTTTGCTTTGCACTGACTTCACATTGAAATTGAAAATCCTGATCTTATTTTTTTCATGCTGAGTAGTTCATGCTGTTGATCTCCATAACACAATCCAACTGTCCTACCAGACCGAAGTAGACGGGATTTGTGACGCTTTCGTGGGAAGTCGGGTATTTAGGACTAGATATGTGATAATCACTACCGCCTCGTGATCAAACAGTGAATGCATTCTAGAATTACCGTATATATAATGTATGCTGAATGTGTCAGCCGCTCAATAACAGAATGTTCGATAACCTTACCCAACGTGGTCCAAGGTTCAATTCCGAGTTGCAGACGCACTGCCTCCCTATGCTTCACTCAGAACTCAAACAAATACACAAGACGATAATTAATTGATTATCTGGAGAGGTTTCACAGTCACTATTTACTCTTCACTTTCGGTTCTGTTAAATACCAAGTTCAATGTACAATCGGATGGAGCACTCATGTAAATTTGTGTTCATTTGATTCTCTTTTCAATCCCCCTCCTCATTTAGTTTTTCATGAAATTGTTGAAATCGATTTTTTTTTTAAACTTTACTAAAAATATCTTTTATTTGATTGTTTCCGTTTTACCTTATTTTTTTTAATTCTTCATTTTTTTTTCCTTACGCACAGCTATACTTATACTCAATTATTGGTTTTTATTCTTTGGCAACTTGCATAGGTAAGTGAAAATAAAACCCATCTTGAAAGGTTTCAAGAGTTTGATTTTATTTTTAAGGTTGTCCACGGATACTGAACAGTTGTTTCGTCCTAGTCTTCAGCGGTACTCGCCCACAACCCCGCCAGGGATGAAACGTAGAACCTTCAGATTGCGAAACAGCTGCCCACTACTCTCTGTTAGTTTTCAATGGTTCTCTAACTGGGAACTGGGATTAAACTTAAAACAGTCTGAATCTTACAAGGATGCATTTGCTAGAGTCCCCTGGTGAGAAGTAGTGAAGAATGGGTTCCACCAGGTCGGGTTTGAGGATAAAACTGGCCGATGACATCGACTTGTGGTCGTGTTTAGTTAAAATGCATGGATCATTGAATTCGGGTCCAACTTGTTTGGTCTTGTAACCTGAAGGCTCTGGGTGCGATGTCTGATGGGTTCTCTCGTACATACTGATGTGGAGTCCTAAACATGGACGAAACAACTGTTTAGTATTCCCTATTGGTTTATATTGGTTCTCTTTTTGACACCAATCCATTTGGAAATTTGTTTTTCATTCACATACACACACACACTTTCTCTTAGATTTATTGCCTATGACAAGTGACAAAGAGTGGATGCATCTGTGCCAATCATCACGGAGAATGATTTTGAGCTAGCCATGTTATCACCAATTGTCTCCAGCCCTAAGCCTGGTTCTTATCATACCGACGACCCCAAACAGGAAGTCTACACCTCCCTACGTGGCTGGCTGGCTTAAACTAACTGTTATGCATCTGATTGACTGATGAAACCATGTTTTGGTTCGACCACCACTAGCTCTTTTCCAACATGACCATATGTCAGCTAAGGATTGTCTGTTGTCGAGGAAGGCGATCGCTAGATGGCATACCCAACACATGTCCTTACCATCTCAATCGATGTAACTTCAAAACCTCATCGGTTGATTTCCCGCTCCCAGCTACCTAATGCTTGATGGCCGGCATCAATATTGCTCACCTTAATGTACCACTTAACACAGGAGATAGAACGCAGACACCCATGATCAAAAACAGATAGCCAAACGTTTCATATTTTCCACTTTCAATGGCTAACATCTATAAAGTGGGACAGAACGAATTGTTGAGCAGTACACAAGTCGTCTTATCGATAAACAGCCGGATATCAAGTCTACGTCAGAGACGGCGTAAGTTGGCAGGCAAATGCTTAACGAGCCTTCTCTATATCCGTGATGAGTTTTCGTCAGCGATTAACCCACTGGCGGCGGCGGCTGATAGCAGTTCCCAAAAAAGCGGAGCGGTCAACACGTGCTCTGCCACTTCACTCCCTCTGTATCTTTAAGCTAGTAGTGAGTAAATGTCGTCCAGTCCAGTCGTGTAGCCTCATCATCTTACATTTGAAAGCAGGAGCCAGTCGCATGTCAAACATTCGTAGATTGCTGTTCAAGCAAACAATGGCGTTAAGAAAATAAAAGACAAATTCAGCCAGCGAAGAAAATTTTCTTTATCGACAAAATCATCTTCAGAGGCTGTACTGTACAGTCGTATTTATACTTACATAAATATATAGTGGTCTATTATTGAGCATAGGGAGGTGACATAATTTATATAATTACTCGGAAGTGGCTTTAGAAGTGAAAATTAAAAGTTGTAAATTACGTAGTACTCAACGGCACAAAGGTAGAAATTTGATAAGGTTAAAATTGCTATTGAGTGAAATGTACAGAGCATATGAGAGTGATAATAGTGAATTAATTATCAGAGCGAAAGCAAACCTAAAGTAAAATTAAAAAAAGAAAAATCAAAATGTTTTCCAGGGAAAAACTAGTGAAGAGGTTAAGACGAAGGTAGAATAAGAAACTGGACAAACTTTCTCTGTATACAGAGTTAGGGGTTGTATTGACTAATTGCCAGTGCCTCCGCCATACACAAAAGCTGAAACCTGACGCCCGTTGTACCATTTGGCTTCACTTTGTAGATGATCTTGAAAGACGACTCTGGTGAAGCTACGTGGCCTGAGTTCACCAAATGCTCGAGAATCGGGCTAGTAATTGTCTTGCATTGTCCGTTTGCTAACCATCCCGGATAATGTTTAGAGATGCGTTTGAAAGCGTGCGCTTTGTGGGGGCGGCCAATATAACTAGCAGGTGAATTTATAAACACACATTGAGGTGATTCACAGCGATAGTTTATCCTTCACACATCCATTGATCATTTGTCAGCTGTAAAAATTAAAACGTAGCTCAGCCATAAAGAAGGCTTCCCTCAATGATCTGCGTAACCGATTCTTCAGGATCTCAGCTACGGTATCACCTTAAAATTCAACACTCATAAATGGCAGTTTCTTCGGCACCGTCTGGATTCTATCAGACTTTCCCCTTAACTTCATGTTTTTCACGATAAATGTTGGAGGATATCCATTCTCTATGAGGACTTGTCTGAGTCTGCCCAGTTCCCCATCGATTGTATCACTGGAACGTATCCTCCTTATTCTTGAGGATAAGGAATGGATGAGATTTCCCTTTCTTCTTAAAGGGACCCAGCTATGGAGATTTGTGTACTGATCATTCCATGTTGGTTTCCTGTAGACCGATCATTGAAGAGAACCATCAGATCTCCTTTTTAGAAAAAATATCCAAAAAATGGAATTCCGAGCTCCTCGCTGATTCCGACGTTAACTGGATGGCATGATGGTATCTGTTGAACTCTTCAGTTAAAAATTCAATGTCGGTATTCTCGTCAGATATTGAATCGATTCAATCCACTGGAATTCTCGGTTAGCAAAGTAGTTCACAGAATCAAAGGGGTGATTTGGGGAAATACCCAGTTTCAAGGTGAAACTCCAACACGACCATACGGTGTTTTGATCACAGCAAATGATATACTACTGCTCATATCGGCCAATTAGTAGTATATATTGTTTTACGCATTTGTGTGTTTGGCTTATCGTTTAGCATTTACGCTATCAAGCAGATCACATATTGTTGTGGTGATCTGTGAATGACTTTGGTTTCCAAAGGAAGGAATCTCTAGGGAAATTCCACCTCCTCGATCTGTGGTGAAGATTGCAAATTTGCTGATTAATGAATCTGTAAAATGACGAATTCGATCGATATAAGGTGTTAGCAGTTGGTCCAACTCGGTTGCTTTCAACTGATTCATCTGTCTGACCTCAGTCAAACTGGTGGTTACATACGCTGATGATGACCACCTCGGCCCAAAATGAGTGAAACGGCCGTTCGGTTTACACATAATAATAATAATAATGATTTACTTTATTCCAAAAACAGTACTTGTGATACAGAATGGAATTTTCAGCATTAATCACAATACTGCATCTAATTTCCTCAAATTATAAATAAAATTAATCACACAGAAAATTTTCCACATTTACAATAGAGGTAGTGTTAAAAATATGCAGCATATAAAATGGAAATAGCAATAATAATGATAACAGCTAGGGTAATAATAATAAGAATACAAGTGAAAATTTCCGTGGGCTTGTGTCACACAGTATTGGCAATGTGGTATAGAAATCCTAACATGTTTAAAAATATTGAATATAATGTTCTCTTTACATGATATGGTGAGGGGGAAAAACAAAGATTACAGCCGTCATGGAGATAAGTTGGTGTCTGCAATTATGAGAGTAAAACAGAGAAGTAACAGGACCATAAATATAATAGAAGTAATAAAAGTAAAACTTCAAGGTATAAAAAGAGGATGGAGGAAATTATCTATTTACTAGATGGAAAAAGGTTAGTTAATTGTTGCCTGACACTATTTTCATCACATAAAATACGTGACAAGTATGGTATCATAGAATTTTTATACTTAGACGTGCGAGCATACAGTTTTCCGAAGTTACTCCTTGTTCTACCTGAGGATATGCAAGGTGAAAGCTGAGGGTAAAGCGGATGCTCCAAGTCAGACAAAATCCCTTCATCAAATTTATTGCATGAAGTCAAGTGCCTATCGACGACAACGTTAACTATGTGGTCCACTGGGACACCACTCACCCTACTGACAGTCTTCAGTATTCTACGAATTGTGACATAGTCCTTTTTAAGCAAACCAGGAAAGAATAAGGGTGAACAATAAAGAAGAATAGGTAGGATGCAAGAGTTGACAAACTGTAAGATGAGGGGTTGAGTTATACCCGAGTGTCTTAACTTCTTAATGTAAAATGTCAGGCGGAATATTTTACTGGAGATCGCTAAGACATAGGAAGACCATGAGAGATCAGAAGATAGAATAAGTCCAAGATACTTAATTTCTGATGTAACTGCTATATCATTGTCGTCAATTTTACAACTGTCATGAGAATCGATGACTTCTTTTAACTGTCGTTTACATCTTAAGCTGAAATCAACAGTTTGACACTTAGAAGGATTCAGTTTAAGACCGTTAGACTCAGACCATCACAATCAATAAATCAACCAATCAATCAATCAGTTGTATATAATCTCAGGCATTTATGCTTGCTTTCTCGATTAGCATTAATGCTGTCAGGCAGATCACATGTTGTATTTCACCTACACAAACTAAGTAGCAAATTCCGCATCGCCAATTTGATTCGTCGGTGATACTATTTCTCGACAACACAATGAGAAGACGTAATTTTCAAGTATTGATTTTGCAGGGATTTTGTTTGATTGTGTGGAGGATTTCATCATGAGCTGACATCAGTTAGAGAACCAGTGGAAAACCTGGGGGTACTGGACAGCTGTTTCGTCAACCCAGTTTGGGACTCTTCAGCAGTACACACCCGCCACAGGGGGTCGAACCCAGGACCTTCTGGTTACAAGGCGAGCTCCTAGACCATTGAGCCACTGGGACCCGATCCAATGGTCCATGAATTCTAACTTCTGCCAGTTCACAACATAGCGCGACCACTTCGCGATGTCTTCTTCGATGAGTTACTGCCTCATCTTCAACCTGCTGTACCCTACTGGTCACGGCCTCCCACTAGAACCCCAGGTTAACTGCCTGAATAGAGCCAGTCACTAG